CCCTGTCCATAGCCTGTCACCGAGGACACAGCCTGGTTACAGTCCAGTCTTACCTGCTAGGGCCTTGATGCGCGAGCGTTCGAACAGCCTGGCCGAGCTGTTGTCCATGTCCAGCTCCTCATCACAGAGCTCAAAGCGAGTGTTGATGTTGCGGTACTGCTGCGTGATCTCCACATTGTCGAAGTCTGTGGTGGAAGTCATGGCGGTGGACCACTTGTAGGTGGGCAAAGGGACGGCAGCCAGCGTCCTCGGGTGTCCTGGATGGACAGGGAGATGAATGGATATCAGGACAGGTGGTGAAAACTGAAGAAACTCTAAAACACATGAGGCAGACACCGATTAAATCTGGTGTCATGTCTAGGAAGAGTTTTCTGTTCCTGATATTCCTGTAGAGAACGATGCAAAACAACTTTTATATCATCGACCATCAAAAGGCAAATTATGTTTTTGCTCATGTTGAGACGAGTGGGTTTGTAAGGCTTGTAGCAAAATAACTCATAAACCAGTGAACATACTTGAACGAAACTTTCAGAAAGTAATCACTGGATAGACACATCAAGTTCAAGTTTCTTCATTGTCATTTGCATCACGTGTGGTACATGAGGTGGAACTAAATTGTGGTCCCAGTTACAGTAGTCCCTCGTTTATCGTGGGGATCCATATCCAGAAGACCCGCGATATGTCAAAAAAAACGCCAAGTAGGAATAGTAGTACAAGGTAGTTTTTTTAGTGTGTGTGTATATAAATAAATAAAGGTGTTATAAACCTTCCCACATTTTTGCAACGTTCTAACCTCGCTCTAAAAGAGCACAGGAAGTCATTTCAGCTCTCTGCCTCCGCTGCTCTGTCACCTGCAAGCGCTCTTGGCCACGCCCACTTGTCCGCTCTGCATGGAGATCAGCTGATCAGATGCAGCAGGAAGTTTATCCTGCAGTGTGGGCTGCAGGTGCTAAATAATTTAAAATAATTTATTTTGAATAAAAAAATCCATGCCTATCGTGCAGCTCATCCATCAATCAGCCAGTTGTGTGTCATGTAAACTCTTATTTTGAAAAACCACGACAGAGCGAGTCCGTAATAAACGAACCGTGAAGTAGCGAGAGACTTCTGTCCACCTGCAATCACTTTTGTAGTCAACCCAATTCAAGATGGCTGCCACAGGTAACCAACATTTGCAAACACAAGACTAGTTGCGTCTCACACAATTTTACAGACATTGATATCAAATTTGATATTAGTAGCCGAGTCATCTTCACCAAATATTAAGCTAACACAACTCATGAAAACTTGCACACGGTAGTCCCGTTGGAGCAACAAAGTCTATGAGCATTATTTCTCAACATGTAAAGATCACAGGTGAGAACTGCAGAATGAAATTGTGCGGGCGATATGCATTACCTGAAGGACTGTTGGGCCTTGAATCTCCTTTAGAAGGAAAGAACCAAATCTGTCTCCAAAAATATAATCTTCACATTGATCACTTGATCAACTGACGGCTTCCTACCAAGTTGTCTTAGTAGGAAGTTTCTGTCTGTAGTTAACTTTTATTTGACTTTCAACTTTCAGTTCAACATTTTGATGGGGGCCGGCTGCACTTCCACCTGGAACCACAATTTAAACTTGAGACAATGTGAGCACAGTTCCATGATCCAGATACACACTGTGCACAGAAATCACAAGACAGAGCCCACCTCTGAACTCCGCTTGGTGTCTCTTTGCCCACAGAATGTTGTGCAGTGGAATGGCAGCTTGAAGAACCGCTCAGATAGCTCTATCTTTACACAGCATAGCTCTCTT